TCTAAATATTTCACTGCTAGGTAATAAAAATGTCTGTGGTTACAATTGAGATGTTCTCTTTTCTCCTGCCGGATGCTTTTTTTTTTCTCCACCTTACTCCTGCTCTTCCTTCTCTCTTTCCCCAGTCAAGCCAAATCTACTTTTACAAACCTCTTGTGATTTTTGAGGGCATGTTTCAGACATGCCAGGATTTTAAATAGTAGTGCTGTCATTGTCTTTTTTTTTTTTTTTTTTTTTTCCCGAGTTAGGCACAACTTCAAGTTTCCTTTGCACTGCACTGAGGAGCTCTTCTGGCCCCCATAGCAGCTCCTTTTGTCACAGGAACTCTTAAGCCAGTCCAGCTATTTGCAGGAGAATTCTTTAGTTTGTTTAGTACTGTTTGGAAGACTTACTTGAGTTAAGCAAAGTCTTCCTACTGTTAGTTGGATTGCCTCTGGTGCCTAAGTTTGTTATCCTCTTTTGTCCTGTGTTTCTGGTACTATTCATGGAGAAGACGACTCTTTCTCCTATGAAGGTACCGCGCTTGAGAAAACTTGAAGCTGTTCTGTGGCTGTGTGGGATTGCAGAGTCCGTGATGGAGTCTTGACAGTTGTGCAGTGTAGGATCTTCTAGAGAGACCTGCTGGAGGACTGCTTGCTGTTACTCTGTGCTGGCTGGCCACAGGCTGCCTTGGGTCTGATGGGCCAGCTGGGCAGGCACAGCTGCTCAAATGCATCCTGAAAGTGCCATGTTCAGCTAACCCCCTTGGATCAGCTCTGAGACGTATGGAATACACACTGCTTCCATGAAGACGCTTGAAACGTTTGCCTGGGTAGAGATACAGCTTCTGTGAAGGTTAGGATGCTAAAAAAGGCTGTTAATCCTTAACTACAGCAGTGTGAAGAACTGAAACATTAGGAAGTCTCATGGCCAGCTTTGGCTGTGTGTGTGGGGTGATCAGATAAAAACTTCAATCGATATATTTATTTATTTTTTTTTTAAATTTGCCTATCTGTTTTGTTTGCAGGAATCCCATGAGACCATAAAAGCTCAGTCTGTCTTAGTTGATTTCTGAATTGAGGTTTACTGAGTATGCTCATCCATAATGTCACGTCAGAACGACGCATTTACCTTGCCACATGATTGGTTTCAAGCAGAAGTGCTGAACTTCTCTCATCATCTCGGAAGATGTTGGGAAAACTTATGCTTAAGCACAAACAAGTCTTTGTATCTAGTTCCATATGAAAGAATGCCTTCCAGCTGAGAAATTTTGCTGTGAGGAAATGAGAATGGTTTCTTGCTGAAGTCTCTTCTGTTTGGAGTTTCTCCCAAATCTAGAGCTTGCAAGAGGGGAACAAATAGTGAATGGAAGATTCTATACCTTAGATACACTTATCTTTTCTAGAGGCTAGGATCTTACTGATGTGTGACTTTTGAGCTGTTATGACTTTGGGGTGTGGTTTAAATATTTGTTCACTTGGTTTGATCTTAAAAAGACTTTGGAGACAAGAGAGACTTGCATTGAAGGAGAAGAATGTTATCTTTCAGCGAGCTCTGAAAATACAAGGCATGAAAAGAGGGCAGTTAACAGAGGGAAAAATAATAACGTGCTGCACAACCATCTCTGATGGTTGGCATTCTTGCATATGTGCCGTTGTGCTAGAGAAAGCTGTGAATGCCAAACACTGTAGTTTTTGGTTTAGCCATTTTCGGAGGGTCCTTATCAATTTTGTGACTCGGTAGAGTGCTAGTGAGACTTCAATAACATGAGAAGTTGAGTTAATCTTGCACTTAAATGATCATGAGTGTGGAGAATCTTCTGGAGAATGCTTTTAGTTTTCAAAGGATGAGAGGAGCCTAGAAAATCTGATTATTGCATGAGATATTTTAATCACCTAGGTGAATGACACAAGAACAAATAGCTATTAAGTGGACTCAAAAGCAAACAAATTGGAGATCAGATGACTGAGCCTTACAGCATAGTCATCCTAAATGACAGTATAGTAAAACCTGAGCAATTGTTTATATGGTACTGTAAACCTGTAAAAGGGAAGTAAATGAATGGGTGTCAGTAGCAGTATCCTGCTGTCCCCTTCTGTTGTGTCTAGCCTAACACACCTGCTCTGGTGTCTTGCATAGCTGTTGATTAGCTTTAGCATGCATAAAAAAGTGGTCAGATTCTTGCGCTGTGATGATGGCTGATTTGTGGGCTGATGTTCATGTGAACTTTTTGGTTTGGAAAAAAAAAAAAAGTATCAGCACAAAGAATGTCAGTTGGGTTGTTGAGCCCTAGCTGGTGATGTGAATAAATGGCTTCTGCAGCTTACACTCTGAAAGTCCTGATGTGATTATATCACATTTTTTTGGAGCAAAGTGGGAAAGTGTGAAGTGAGCTATCTGTACATACAGCAGCTGGAAGAAGGAGCCCACCAGTCTGTGAGTTTGTGGCTCCTCTGGGATCCCACTGATTGTCATCCATGGAAACAATTCCTTGGGGCAGGAGCTCTGCAGTTGTTTGAGTTCCATTTGTCTTCATAGGGCACAAGACTTAGATATGTGCTGTGATGTGTTCCTCTTAGTTTTAGAAATCCTGTGCATGAATGCATCATGGAGACAATAGCCAAGCAGACGTTATGCTTGTCTGTATCTCATCCTGATTAGATCCAGTTGCTTCTCCTCTTAGGCAGTAAGTAGATCAAAGACAAGTGCAGTTAGCCTACGAGATCAAGGCAGTCAGTCCTTTGCACTAGGGTCACCTGGGTGTATATTTCTGCAGCAAGTCTCTCATCCTTTTCCTGCTTGATGCAGAGAGGTTAATTCTGTCCAGATAGCTGGACTACTGGGATGATTTGTCTGTCCAGTTCAGTTTCAGATATCTAGGTAATTTTTTTTTCACTGGAGTTCTTTTTTCTCAGGTCCTTTGCTGCCTGCAGAGGTGTTCAGTTCCCTTCATGAAAGCCTTCAACGTAGAAGATAATTGTTGTGCTGGTCCTTGAAGCCTTTGCTTGAGGATCATGTCTCTAAATCCTATGGATTTCTCTCCTTCCACTTCCATTTTGCTCAATGAGGCGGTCCTAGTTATTTGGTTACAATGGTCCTAGATATGCTGTTGGTGCTGGGCTGCGAGTTAGTAATTCCATTCCTTTCCTTGGGCAGTATGCTGTAAGCAGATGCATTCATGGTGCCACCAATGCAAATTTCGTCGTGTTGGTATGCTTGTTGCACCTGTTATGGTGTCTTTCATGCTGGCAGAGGAGGGTTTCTTGGCTATTCCAGCAACCTGGAGTGGGAATGCTCTAAGCCAACATTTAGCAGCTCTCTAACAGTAATATGGTGTATAATCAATGAATATCAAGATGCTATAATTACAAAATAAACAAGAGAGTTTGGCAAAGCAGATAATGATAACAAAAAGAGAATAGATAGAAAGCTTACCCCTATCCTGGGCTCACTTACAAAACTCCAGCAGAGTAGATCTCCAGAAGAGATCCTTCCCCCCTAGCAGCTAGCTCTTAAATAGGTCTAGGAGGGCTGCAGCCTGGCTCCACCCCTTCCGGCGCACAGGAGAATTGCCTTCACCTGTGCTCCTCTGGCTGACTCAGTGCTCACCTCAGGTGATCAATCAGAGGTTTAGGCCGTGACTCAGCAGTTCCCATACATATGGGTTACGAGACAAAGTGTCTCCTGTGCTGTTACAAGTTGTTATCAGGGTGCTAAAGTTTGGCAAGTCTTGGTTCTTGGATTGCTGTGAAAATTATTGAATGCTTTCAGACTGGGGAAACGCATCATCTGGAGACAGTGTTTGAAACTTTCTAAGTGTGATTTCAGTATCTATACTGTAGTAGTTGCAAACTGGCTTGTGCAAAACATGATGTAAATCAGTCGCGCACATCCCAAATTGCAAATCTTCAGAGATATAGAATGCATTTTTTTTCCCCCGGAGTTTTATATCTAATTTGACTCTGTTTAACAACTAAGGAATTGAGAAGTTACTGATTCATCACTGGTGAAGGTAGCTAATCTATAAACCGGTAACTGTTTTCTTTCTCTACCACATGAAAATGTTTTTTGTACTATACCTCTGCTTTTCCCTTAATGCTGTTTTCACATTAGTGTAGGCAAATCTGGGTTCTGCATGTGCTGCAGTAGCAATTGCAGTGGTGTTTAAATTATAAAATGAACTGAGCTTCAGTTCTTCGCTGTGTTCCAGTCTGTGAGGGGCTGTGTGTAATAAAACCTGTGTGGAATAAACTGTGCAGCTGTACAGTGACTTTATATCAGCCATGCAAATGAATGAGATAAATAGCTTATGGTGATTGATACTCTGTATTGCCCTTCAGATTTAGTCTAGTAGCCAAGAAAATGTCTGAAACAAATGACTTGTTACCAAAGTTCGCTAAGCCTGTGTTTCTATGCTACCAAAGCACTACAGAGTAGATGTGACATTATTTTTCAAGTATGCATAAAAGATTGGAAGTTTTATTTCATATTTGTATCTGGAGGTGTGCAGTTAAGAATACTAAATTAGTGGGAATTCAAGCTAATATATACATATATTTTTTTTTTCTTGCTCTTAGAAATAATGCATTGGAAGCAAGTCCAATTCATTTTCAGTGGAGTTGCATGTGCGAAGTAGAAGATTCTTCATGTGTAGATTAGCTAAAGCCAAGACTGTGGAATAATGCCTGCTTTCCAAACTTGTGCAGGGGTTTTACCCCTGGGCTTGTGTTTAGTCCCCTTAGAGATTTTAATTTGTGTTTTATTCTTCAAAGGTATGAGTTGAGAGTTTTCAGTGGGTGTTTAAACTGCCAGTTGAAAATAGTTTTATTGCTACCTTATTACAATTAAAAATGTTCAGGTAGTAGACAAGTGTTAACTGCTAGTGTTACATAGCTAATTTTCTGGCATGTTTGCAAATGATTTTTAACTAATAGTGCATGTGGCTGAAATCTAAAATAGTGTCTTTGCATTTTTTTTGTGTGACTTTCATACTAACCTCACTGAACGAACGTGCACTGAAGGAATTGGTAAATTGTCCACTGCCGATGGTAAAGCCTTCGCAGATCCTGAGGTTCTCCGAAGACTGACATCCTCTGTCAGCTGTGCACTGGATGAAGCTGCTGCTGCATTGACGCGGATGAGGGCGGAGAACAATCACAATGCAGGGCAGGTGGACAAGTATGTACTGATCTCTCCTTGGTTTCTGAATGCTAGAATGTAAGTTGATATTTCTCATTTCAAACTCAGTTTTTACAGTTAGTCCTCAGTAACATATGTGCCGTACTAGCAGATAAACTGAAGGTTTAACTGCTGCCATATCAGGTTTTTAACTTTAGATGTGCAAGTGAAGTGTTGATTAGAGGACATGCTGCTCTTCCTGTGTGCTAGGTGGTCAAATTCTTTATTTTGAAAAATTGGTTAAGCTTATCCATATAGAAGAGCTGGAGATAGTTCTCTGCTTACTGCTTTATGTTTTGCTGGAAACTAAGAAATCTGGTTCGTAATATTATCTTCCAGCTTTTAGTACAAACACTTAATAGGTAGCAGTTTCCCCAGGAATCTTGCTTAAGGAACTTGGGGGAAAAAGGAAGCGCTATATATCTGCTAACTCTTCAGATGCAGTAATTAATGAGGACAAGTTCAATTCCCATGACTGTAGAAATGAGAATTTGTCCTAGGTATCTGAAAGCTTTCTTCTCCATTGGTAATTTCAAAGCACTGTTAGGGGTCCTGGAATATTTTCTACTCTGACAAATGAATAGAGGTTGTTCCTAAACTGTTAAGGTAATGTGATTGCGTGTACGGCTGATCTTGAAATCTCATCAGAAATTCAAAGCATTTCTTATGTAGATCTAGTTTTCAATTATTTTTGTAAAAATACTGAAAATAGAAGTGAAGCAAATAAAAGTGGTCCAGGTACTGGGTATTCTCTGCAGGTCATATCTCAGCTTAACTATCAGCTACTAGCACAGTGTAGCTCATTTTTGAGTGTCTTGCAAATGAATTCCTTCTCATGTTTTCAAATAAGGCTTTAATTATTCGTTTAACTATTTGTCTCTGAAAAATTGAAACTAATGTGCTTTCCTGATGAAGCCTTGTGGTCAAATGGATATATTCTTCATTGCAAGTAAGCTTCTTGGATGATTGTCTCTTTTACAGAAGAGAAGTAGAAATTTAAGGTATTTAATGCATTTGAGTATGTTAGTGTTTAGCTTTTTTTTTTTTTTTTTTTTAAATTAAATGAGGTCCCCTCCTTTTTACACAAATTATACCAGGATGGACTGCATTGCATGCAGTCCACTACTGTTTATAATGGAAGGCTCTTCCTTCCTTCCCTTCTCCAGCCAGTACACTAGTGGCTCAGGGACAGTGATTTCTCCCATGTATTTTCTAAATTGACTTTCTATCATATGGGTAAGTGTAACTGAGTTGGTGCTGAGTATGACTTGCTCTTGTTTAAACTTAAGTGTTTAGCAGTGCTTTAACTGTTCTCTTAGAATTAGACTTTTTTTGGTACAGAAAAAGATTTCAAGGAAAGATGACTATGTTCAAAATAAATTGAAGCTCACTCACCTTTTCTAGATCTGCTTAGTGTATTTTTGTAAGGAAAATAGCTCTTCTGTTGAAGGCAAAATTTAAGGATGTTTAAAGTAGTGGTAATATACTTCCTGAGCTTTTACATGTCAGGAACATCTGAAAACTTGTGTTAAATGCTCTCAGGGTTGTATGAAAAGAAACAGGATAAGCGTGTAAGACTCTTTTCTTCCTCTAAGATGTCATTAGGTGAGGTAAGGATTTTTCTTTGTTTGAAAATTATTTGGAGATAAAAAATCAATTTGTTTCCTTGAAAGAAAAAGCTTGGGCTAGTGCTGGAAGGAGATAATCCTACTATAGGAGAGACAGCGGTAAGAAAGTTTGGCATATTGCAGTATTGAGCATTAGTGGTTACTGTGGACTACTCACTTTTTGGCTTTCTCTCTAGTAGAAATTTACCTCTGTACCTGTGGTTTGCCACAGTCATAGCCTGTGTCTATCTGGCATTCCACCGAAGAGTGAATAAAACATCAGTGAGTGTTTACCTCTGTATTTTGCACACACTGCGCGATACCCAGTTTTGAGCACTCTTCTCTGTATGTAGCTTATATGAAGCTTGAATGAGTTAGCAAATGTGAACATGAGGAAGGTCTTTATTTCCATTTCACCAGTGAAAATAATGTATGTGTGAGCTTTTCTCTTAAAAAGCATCTGCAAGCTATATTTTCTAGGATGATGTCTTGAGCTTTTAGGACTTCTTCTGTGCATAAGAAAACTACCCCTTATTGCAGCTCTTTTTCGTGCTTATTCTGTGGTAAATGATTTTCCAGTCGCAGTTTGGCAGAAGCGTGCTCGGATGGGGATGTAAATGCTGTCCGGAAGCTGCTGGATGAAGGAAGAAGTGTAAATGAACATACTGAAGAAGGAGAGAGTCTCCTTTGCTTGGCCTGTTCAGCAGGATATTACGAATTGGCACAAGTAAGTAACAAATACAGTCACAACTAAACCTTTGTGAAACATTGTTAAAGGGCTTTCTTCGATACCTGAATGCCTTAACTGTCACAATTGAAACAGTTTTTATAATCCAAAAAACTCTTTTTGGATTAGTTATTAGTAGTTAATACCGCTTAATGTGAGCACACAGATACTGGTTGTCTTCTTAATGTAAAATGCCATCAGCATTGAATTAGTTTGGGTTAATATCTGGCTTTTATACATGTGTATTCAGGAGCAGAATTTGTCCTTTTGGCTTAAGTGATGATTCTCAGAAAGCGACTGGCTTCATGTTTATTGTGCTGACAGCTGTATGGGGGAGAACTGTTTACCTGTAAGCTTAACCTAATGTGGGCTGTAGTCATTAATGCAAACTTGTAGTATATCTGCTGTCATTTTGGCTAGTGAATTGCTCTGTGACATTTGAAAATGTCAGTACTGTACTGAACTTAGTGTTGATTTTAACAGATATGAATAAATGTAGAAAAATAGTGTTACCTTAAGCTGAGCATAGTGCAGGTGGGTAATTACTTGTGGTCCTGAGGAGTACTATTGTGTTTTACTGCTGTGGGTATTTTAATGTAAGGGTATGTCATGACTGACCGGGGAATCAGTGTCAAGCTCCACTGAACTAGAATCAAAATGTCAGTGCAAGAATTTGTTCATTCTAATAGTGAACTTTTTTTCTTTAGGTGCTACTAGCAATGCATGCAAATGTTGAAGATCGAGGGAATAAAGGAGACATAACTCCCTTAATGGCAGCTGCCAGCGGAGGCTACGTAGATATTGTTAAACTTCTCCTTGTTCATTGTGCAGATGTCAATGCTCAGTCTTCAACAGGTAACAGAAACTGAAAAAATGAACAGAACTAGAGCATAAGCCAAGTGCTTCTGTTCTGAACGTGAGTTTTTTTTGCTGGTATTTTAACTTAAAGTACGCACAGCAGGAATGACTAAGAATAGGCTAGATACATGCTGGACATGGTTAATAATGGCCAGATGAGACTCTAATGGTGGCTTTCAGCATTAACTGGAATGGAAAGCACTGTTCCCTAGATGTCTACTGTGGTATTAAATGACCAGAAAGATGCATTGAGTTCAGTTTTTCTCATTTGTACAGTCCACATTTGTCTTCTTACTGGATATACCTGATCAAGACCAGTTATTTTGGTCTGTTGCATTTTACCAAAGTATAACAGTTCTTTAAGCATTGAGTGTTGTCCACACTGCTGATGCTTGACCACAACCTGACTAACCTTGCTGACAGTATTAACCTGCATTTTAATTTTTCTAAAATGGAATTAATTTTTTTTAAGTAGGTAACATTCATTTTTTTTTTTATATCTAGTTGTATTAAGTGGAAGTTGTCTTAGAATTGAGAGTAAAACTTAAAATGTGAGCCAACATTTTCAGAATCAGAGTTATAAATTGTAATAGTTTATTCTTATCCACCCAATAGAAGCTTTTTAAAGGACTGCTGGGTGCCATCTTAACACAAACAAATGAACAACCCAAAACAACCAACACAAAAACAGAGCAAAACCCCAGCAAAACAAACAAACAAAAACAACAAAAAACTCACACAGAAGAAGATCAATGATTTTCTCTTTTTATGTGTCGAAGTAGGAAACTTGACAATAAAAGAAAAAAATGCTTGAGTATTACGTGTTAAAACTCTCATAATTGCGTTGAAGATATTGGCTGAAGTAACTTTACTGTGACATAAGAGGCTGCCCCTGGTGGTGTACTTGTTTTTTCAGGGTTTTTAAAACTAACTTCATGTTGTGTATTAGGAGTGGGAAACAAAGAGGACTTACGTGTAACTTCTTCTTCTCTGCAGGGAACACAGCGCTCACTTATGCTTGTGCTGGGGGCTTTGTTGACATAGTGAAGGTGCTATTGAAAGCAGGTGCTAATATAGAAGACCATAATGAGAATGGGCATACCCCCTTAATGGAAGCAGCCAGTGCAGGTCATGTTGAGGTTGCAAGAGTATTGCTGGAATATGGTGCAGGAATCAATACTCATTCCAACGAGTTCAAAGAAAGTGCACTTACACTTGCATGCTACAAAGGTATTGTCTCGTATGTTGTTTTGTATTTTTGTTGACGAAATTTATTTCTGGGTTTTACCTAGCTGAAACTTCCAACCGAACTTTTGATTTTCTTAACTGTTTAAAATTGATGTCAGGAGATATTCTTCCTTGGTGTAGTGGTCTGCTTGTATTCGGATGTGGTGGACATATGCGGCATGCTGGAGCTGAAATCTTGTGAATGGCTACATCCAAACTTGCGCTTTGACGCAGCACCACTTTCTTTCCCTCCACTACTGCATTCACCATTTCATTCAGATTCTCCTCACCAACTACCTGCAAGTTTTGAAAACATCTCTATTAGTTGTTAGGAAATTGTTGTTAGATTGGATGTTCTGTAATAACTGGTGGGAGTAAAATGCTAGTATGATTACCAAATACTCTTTCTGCAGTGTAATTTTGGAGGATGTTTTTCAATTGTGTATTATGACCTCTTGTGGACTTAGTTTCTTTTGCAGTTCAAAGTTTTTACATAAAATAACTTAGTGCCACGGTAATCAAATGAACCACCAACCAAATTATTTTCTTTCAAAAGAAAGCAAACTAAAAACTGTAACGTTTTCCTCAATTGTTTTCCCCTAATAGAAGCTGTAAGCATGCGGATTATTGTCAAAGTAATTTACATTTTGCCTCTGCAGTTAGAATTGGAGGATACAAGTTATTTGTAATTCATCAGAAGGCTCGGATCTGATTCCATCATGGATATCCTGCAGCATGTACTAGTAGTTCATTATGAGAATTTTCAGTAGTAGCATTTTTGGATATGTTTGAAGGAATTTTCCTGTTTCTTTCATTGTAAACATAATAGGAGTGATGTAATGCAATATCTTCCTTGACTGGGGATTTCCTGTGTCATCTTTGGCAAGACAATTAAGTTGCATTGTTTTCCTATGAATTTGTGTAAAGCAAAATCTGGTTTTGAAGGATAAGATAAAATGTATAATTTGTAAGGGACACGTTCTATGACAACAAAAGCCATAATAGATTTGAGTTAAAAACAGGTTTTGCGGAAGTTCAGTAGAGGTTTTTTTAAAGTAGTGTCACATATATGCACATTATATCATTCTGTGTTCCTCAAATTCTCAGAAATATTCCCAAGAGCTATGAATAAAAAGCTTGAAGCTCAGATCTATATGGACATATTTTTGAAGATAGATAGCTCCCCTCTCAAAACTTGTGCTGCTTTGGAATACTCAAATGATACGTCTGTGTTCTGTTGAATAAGGAACTACACAGTCTTTTGTAACTTGAAGTCACAAGGAAATGTTTCTATTGTATAAATTAGAGGTCTATTTTAATTTCATAGTTAATGTCATTGAAAAAGACATTGAAAAAGTCTTATGGCTGACCATTCTCCGTTACTCATCAGAAGACTTAGAGTGGGCTTATGACTTGTAACTTCTAATAGTAAGCTATGAGAATCTAAATTATTTTATTAACGTATTGTCTGTAGTACTAAAGGCTTTTGCAGTTAAACATTTAACTTACTTTTACCTGTTTCATTTGAAGGCCATTTAGATATGGTTCGTTTTTTGCTTGAAGCCGGAGCTGATCAAGAACATAAAACAGATGAGATGCACACAGCGTTAATGGAGGCCTGCATGGTAAATAGCCTTTATCTGTACTGCTGCTTCTTCAGTGAGAGAGAAATAGAGGAGATGATAAAATAAATGTAATGAGCTTTTCATAACAATCCAGTTTGGGTCTGCAAGTGAGTGTTTCAGTTCCTGCTGTAACCACGGAGTCATAGAAACATGGGGAGTTGAAGGGACCACTGGAGATCCTCTCCAGACCATCCAGGTTCCCTAGAGAAGGTTGCACAGGGAAGCATCCAGTCAGTTCCTGAATATCTCCAGAGAAGAAGTTTTGACCGTGTTTCTGGGCAGCCCGTCCCAGGGCTCTGTCACCCTCAAAAGCTGCTTATGTGAAGTGTAGGGATAAGTAGTTTGCAATGCCATTGGGTATTAGGTTGAGACCAAGTCACTGTGTCTTTTGCAGTGTAAAAGAGCTAGTTTCCTGTCTTTGTGTTTATAAATTAGACCTCAGAGATCATCGTGGTGTATGCCTTCCAGAAGTGCATTGAACTGAATGACTAATGCATTGCACTTACCATTTCACCAGTACAGGGAACAAGTGTGTTGCGTGTAGGCAGTTTGTTCTAGGCTTTTGGAACTGATGCTGTGAGTTTTTCCTTTGCAAATTAAAGAAAATAGGAAAAAATCAGTTCTTAGTTCCTTGTTTTTGTAGATAGCATAGAGAATGGAGGAAAAAAGTTTTCTTTCAGTGGGCTACAACCTTTAGAGGAAAGTGCAGCATTCCAGTAGTCTTCAGCTGATCCTGCTGCTCTCAGTTCTGTTGCAGCTGTGAAATGATGCCAGTGACCAAGGTCAGCTTGTAATGTCTTGTGTTGTAGCCTTCTGCTGATAATGCACTGGGTGTATGGTGTCACCTAAAGGAGACTGCAGCATTTAGACATGATCACTTCTTTGCTTTCATTGTGATAGTCTAAGCTGTGGGTTGACTTGGAGGCTCTGAATAGTCTCCCTTGCAAGATAAGCTATGTGGATGGCCTACATATTGTAATTTTTGAGTGTTTCAGACCAGTTTGCATTACAGTATGTGTATTTAACCTTTAAAAGCAATCGAGAGTGAACTGACCCTTTGAAGTTCTGATTCCAAGTTTAGTGATGAAATTTTTTCCTTACTGTTGTCTTATAGATATATTTGTAGAGAAGGGAACCATTCTGGCAAATTGCTGTGATTTATGCCAGTCTCCACAGTTTTTTAAGCGGTGGGTTCAGGAAACTGAAGTGTCTGGTTTTTGTTTAGCAGTTATATTGTAAGTGCCTCCGAGTTATGGTACTATGTTCTTATAAAGTTGGCATGCTACACCTAAGGTAATATCTTTAGTTAGAAGGGTTTCTTGCTGGCTTTTGGGCAGCTTCTCCAAGAACAACAGCCTATTCTTAGTTGACAGACTTGGTTGCTGTTAATCTCACGTTATGTACTACCTGCTTCATGGTTGACTTAATAAAGGCAAGCACTGTCAGGAGTTGTTCTGTTTGATATTCATCTTTCCCCCTTTTGTTTTACTGTCTTAGTGGTTTGAGTTACTGACTGGCAATTCTGATGAGATCAAAATGGGGAAGTAGTAGTTCACCTGAGGTTACTCTTTTTAATGGATAAGTTCCTTAGTTTTGAGAATTGGGAGTAGTTGTGAGTAAGAATTCCACTTCACAATTCTGCCAAGGTGTTTAACTTTGGGCAGCGATATATTCTAAAATCTTTTTTGCCCTTTAATGTAGTCCAACTTTTCTTCCAAGAGAATGATATGTATACATATACTTTTTACCACTGAAATTGGCCCTTTTTTTAATTTTCATTGGAAGTATTTTCTTCTGTAGGAAGACCTGTCAGCAGGTGTTGGGGGTTAGTTTGAAGAAATAATCCTGGTTTGAGGCCAAATTCCAGGAGAACCACTGTGTCAGGACACAGAGATGTGTAAGCATTGTGAAATCATCAGATCTGTCTGACAATTTTTTTTTCCTTCCAGAAGAATCTCATTTCTTTGGATGGTAAATAGAGTGATCAAGGTGATGCACCTACTACCTATGCATCTGCAAGGCAGCAAGTATCTCTGAGATACACAAACAGCATGCCTCAATTCAAATTTCTCACTTTGAAGTTCCATTTTTTTGTCCTTAAGTTATTCTGTTATTTGTTTATGCTCAGGAAAGATCTAGTCTGAAATGTTCCTAGGTTCTATTCAGAGGACTCCTGTATCTCACTGTGCACTGTTTTCATTACTTGGGTCTTTTATCAGCATAGTTCATAATGAGTTTCAGTTCACCAATTTCTTTACTCAGTGTTCCAAAAGTTTGGATCCCATTTCAATAAATAATGTGAGAGGAAAAAGCCGTAAGGATGTTTCTTGTTTCCAGATGCCAAAACTTATTTGCATTTGCCAATTCTCAAAGGTATTGTGGCTTTTTACAAACCACACCTTTAAAACATAAATTTTTGGTGTTTAGGCTCTTCCAAGGAACTTGAGAAGTTTAATAATAGTTTCTTGAGAAGCTAACAGCTACACTTATATATTTTGATTGGTAAGTCTCAAACAGACTGATATGGCAGTCCTAATCCTCTTTGTTCTGTGGCAAAGATCAGTTCACTGCAGGGTACTTTTCTCTATCCTTTAAGATCTATTCCAGCCTTTCCTGCTCCTTTTTAACCACCTAGATGTAACCCACTTCAGTTCTTCTGCAGGTGTATTTCCAGGATACAGAAACTGCCAATTGTAGGTTTTTTTTTTTTTTTTTTTTTTTTTTTTGTCTGTAGAAGCTATGAAACAACTATGAAGAGAAAAATCATTTTTTTTTTCCACTGCTTGTCTTGAGGTTTAGTCATGCAGTAGGTTTATTTGTGGAATTGCTTTTTGTCTACATTACTTTTGTGCCATGGATATTTTTATGGGTATTTGAGAATGTCTTACCTCACAACTCTTTCTCATCTCTTCCCAAGAAAAAAAGGAGGAGAAAAAAAAATCTAGCTCTCTTTTGTTGTCCATTTAAATGTAAAATAAGTATAGGTGCAAATCTAAATGTCAGTTTAATCCAAATGTTATAATAGTTGTCATAAACTGCACCATCATAAATAATACTCTTCAATCATTTTCAGACCTAATGCAATGGTAGTTACAATTACTGTATTAAATGGCTTTGCTAGTTTCTGATTTTCATCTCTGTTTTGTAGGATGGACATGTGGAAGTAGCACGGTTACTTTTAGACAGTGGTGCTCAAGTGAATATGCCTGCAGATTCATTTGAATCTCCCCTCACCCTGGCTGCTTGTGGTGGACATGTGGAGTTAGCAGCTCTTCTTATAGAAAGGGGAGCTAACCTGGAGGAAGTGAATGATGAAGGCTATACTCCTTTAATGGAAGCTGCACGTGAAGGCCATGAGGAGATGGTGGCGTTGTTACTGGCACAAGGTGAGAGCACTGTTTCTTTAACATTCATTACGGAACATGTGGTACTAACTGTTCCCTGTCAAGTAGTGTGCACAAATTCCTTACCTAGTATGTGGTTATCACTGCTTGTTGCTGTAACTGTAGAGTAAAGCTAGAACACCTAAGCTGCAGAGGTAATGAGCATTCACCTTTCTATGCTGTCTCTGTTCAGCTAGAATAACAGCTGTTTTGTTTCCCAGGGGCAAATATAAATGCGCAGACTGAAGAAACACAAGAGACAGCTCTTACTCTGGCATGTTGTGGTGGGTTTTCTGAAGTAGCTGACTTCCTCATTAAGGCAGGAGCTGATATAGAACTTGGTTGCTCAACACCTTTGATGGAAGCTGCTCAAGAGGGTCATCTTGAACTGGTGAAATACTTGTTGGCAGCAGGTATGTGTACAGTACAGATCCTTAGCCACAAACATCGTGGAATAGATGTTCTATATAATTTAGAAGATACCTAGGCTTGATGGCGGTTAATGTAACTATCCGCAGATATTTAAAAGAACAAACAATGCAATTTCCCCTGTGAGGACAGATGAGAGTTGGGGCTGCTTGGTCTGGAAAGAGAAGAGGGCTCTGGGAGATCTGAGTGTGGCCTTTTGGACTCCTTAGTAGGGTCTGTTGCAGGAGGACAAGAGGAAATGGTTTCAAACTAGAAGAAGGGAGATTTAGACTGGGTATTTATTAAAAATAAAAAAAAAGTTTTTACAGTAAGAGTTGTGAAGCACCTGAACACGTTGCCCAGAGACGTGGTGGATGCTCTGTCCTTGGAGACATTTGTGGTCAAGCTGTTCACTGCTGAGGAGTTGAACCAGATGGCCTTTGAGGGTCCTTTCCAAACTCAAATGGTTCTACTCAATGATATCTTCTGCCTTAATATTGTCTGATACTGTTAAGAGGAACATGCCTTATGGAATACTGGTTAATATTGCATCTCTAAGAAATACCAGTGCTCATTAGAAAAATTGTTTTCAGCATTTAGGGTAAAATTTTAATATGAATAATGCTTGTTTTTATATGGGACTGCTGTGTTGACTGAGCGAAACTATCTACATACAAATAATCTGTCTGAATTAGCAGTGCATTTGAAATTGCACTTTGGTAAAAGGCACAGAAGGAAAATTTCTGGAAGGTGCTAAACTTCTTAATTTTAAAGAATTATAAAATTAAAATGTAACGTGACTTTTATAGGGCATAATGATGATATCAGTTTAAAGCTGATAGAAGCTAAAGTACAATAATTAAAAAGTAAAGGGAGCTGTATATTGGAAATCTTCCTTGTAATGGCAAATACTTTATTTGATTGCTCTTTTCTAAGTATATGCATAAAATTTGTTGGATTTGTAATTCTAAAAAGTAATGCTCACCAAAGGGCAGTAAATTGCAACTGTGTCTCTGTGCAGTGATACCAGCATGTGATGCCAGTTGCTAGTTCGCTTGAAGCTCTGCTTACACTGCACTTACACTGATAGTGTAGAAGTTAGAAAAGCTTTGTTTCGGCATCAGTTGGTTTCTAAACACCTCTCACACTGAAAATAAGAAATTGGGTAATAGCATTCACTTTTTTAGAAGAACAGTGCATAATTTTCAAGTAGCTGATAAGTATGTGAAGCTAATCTAATTATTTCACTAAGATAGTTTTAAAGAAAATTATTTTAAAGAGCAGGGAAAGAATGAAATTTGTAGAAATATGCAATCATGTACCATAAATGTATTTCACTGAATAAGCGCTAAATGTGGCTGTCCTTGGCATGCAGCTACCTGTCAGATGGACAGTCTGGACAACCATCTGGATTCAGTGTTTGTAGGTAGAGCTGACGTTTCTAGTGCTGTAGGAGAAGAATTAGGAGCAAGTGAGCATGAAGGTTTGAGTGCTTAGATTGTCAGTCAAGCCTGTTATAAGCCTTGCCTTGTCCCGTCTTCTCAGAGTATTTTCATGTGAGAGCAATTTTTTAACTGTAAGAGTGATACCTGTGGGCTGTGGAAGCTGTTGGCTGTTGGGATGTAGCTGCTGTCGTGGATAAATAGCGTCTCGATTTTTGTGTTTGTCTGAAATGCTTGGTAAGGTGATGTCCAGTAAGGAAAAAATATTGATATTGTGTTTCTAGGAGCTAATGTTCATGCCACCACAGCAACGGGAGATACAGCATTGACCTACGCGTGTGAAAATGGACATACTGATGTTGCGGATGTGTTGCTTCAAGCAGGTGCTGATTTGGTAAGGCTTCTGCTACATCTTGTGGAGAAAAATCTTTGGTTTCAGACTTTATGCCAAAGCTCGTGTGCTTACAGAGCAGATAGAGGATTCAAAAAATTGACATTCCTATATGGGTGTAAAAAGAGGTAGGAAAACTTTTGAGAAGTCTGCATATTCTGCTTGGTCTAAAAAGTGGAAATTTTTATTAACTACTGATCTCTTAAGTGAAAAATTTTAGCTGTCACATATGTGACAGTTAATTTCAGTACGTTCCTTGTATTATCTTGCATTTCTGCATTACCTTTGCTTCTCATGCAACTTGTCTTTTCCTAAACTTACAGTTTTTGTTTCACGGCTGTGAAATTTAAATGTTTTATTACTAGCAGCTATTAATACTCTCGTTAATTTCTAAGTCTTTTTGACATATATTTTTTTGTGACGTAGCTTTCAAAATTTATACTGAGTACCACCTCTAAAATCACTTGCATAGTATGGTCTCTTTTGTTTGATCCAGGAGTCTTTTATCTTTTTCTGTATATTGCTTTCATAGTGTTTTTGTTCTGTGATGCTTTTAACCATTAACTATGTTCTTCTTTTTTTTTTTTTTTTTTTTTTTTTTTTGTGTGTGTGTGTGTGTGGTTGTTTCCACTTTTCTGTGCTGTAAATGAGGCTTAAAACTGCATTTCCATCAGCTACAGGTGTTTTTCTGACTTTAAGTAGGAAAAAGCAAATGGTACGTTAGTGTATTAAAGGAGTTCAGGAGCTGGAACTATTCTCCTTTTTCCACAGTCTGCTTTTGTGTTGGTCTGCTTTTGTTGTTCTTTGTTTTGTCTTAGTGTCTTTCATTATTCAAAGTTCAATGTAAATAAATGAATGCTATAACTCTTAATAACAGTTTTGCTCTTCTTTGTGAAGACTCTTCTTTCAGGCCCTACTAATTTATCTGCGGGAAAGTTGTAGTTCATAATTATCTGTTCCCACCAGGGAGGAAGGATATGTTAGTAGGATAGGTGCAGGGAAAGCTGGGGCTGGGGGAGGCTAGCATACCTCCTGTGCTTTGCTGAGTTCAGTGTTAGTTACCAAGTGGTAACCACTTCAGTAGATGCGAGATGGATTTTCTTTAAATCAACAGTAAAACCAAAGGAGAATACATCAGTTCTTCTTAATGAAAGATGTAGTCCGTGACAGTGAGCACAACTGCAAAGCTTAAAGCAAAGAAACATAGATCAGTGTGCGTAAGCTTTAAAAAGATGCAGTAATCACTGCTTAAATATTACTTAAATTGTTGTAACTTGTAAATAATTCTATTTTTTCATCTCGCCTCTGCTGTGATTGGGTTATATGGACCGGCATTATGCAGCACGTAGATGTGGCTAGTATTGCTGAGAAAACTCAAGCCTTTCTAACCAGAAGGTCTTTTTACTGCATTTTAACTACTTGTAATCAAAATGAAAAGCTGTCAAGAAAGTTATAGTAAGGAAGTAAGAATTGTTGGTGGTGGTAATTGTCTGTAGCCTATCCAAATAGTTGCTTATTATTGGAGTGTTGATTTGCACGTGAAGGCTTGCCATGTAGTCTCCTATTCTTTGAATTCTCGTGTTAAGTAACTTAAAAGCAAATTACTGTCTATAACATAGATATGTTAAGCTTCAGTAGTTCTATCTTGAGAGGGAAGATGTGTGTCAACAGCCATGTGGTGAAACTGCAGTCATATCTAAATGGTACAGATAAAAAATACTTCGAACTGAAGAACTGCAGTGATACTTACAGAGGATGTTTCGAGTTTCTTTCAATTCTATGCATTGCTTTGCTTTTTTAGAAGCTGTAAACTCTTTTGAATAAATTTGTTGTGTTTGTAATCGACAAAATAGGTTTCATAAGTGTGTGTTACCTTGTGGCTGGAATATGAAATACCTTCCTTGGCAGTAGTGTAGATTATTCTAGATATCAGTGTTTATTTGTGATGTCTTAGATTACATGATTTCACCAGGTTTTTGCAGGATGTCTGCCATGGAGTGGGAAATTGCACACAGATCTGGACTGCTGTTACTCTGTCTTCAGTTTGTCTAATTAATTTTGCTTTATTTTTATTGTTTGGATACTGCAGGTGAAAATACATTTTCAGTTGCTGTTCTTTCTCTGCTTATTCATGCTGCAACTGTAGTATTTCCTGAGATGGCTTTCATTAATTCATTGTTTACCGGAATCCACTTTTTCTCTGGGGTTTATATCACAGATGCTGGGGATATTGGGATACTGATCTTGTGTTCCTTTTTGAGGAAAGTGTTGATTATGTCTGTACAGTAAAATAAAGCAAGGTTGAGGGCTGGTGTTGAAATGCTAGGAGAAAGGGCTGTCATTGAACCCATCTGCATGGTGTCACAGAGGACCTGGGGATTTTTCACTTTGGGCTGCACATCCATGTCTGTGTGGTTTTGGGTTGTGTGTGTACTGGATGCCCCTGGGCTGTGGGGTGAGGTTTTGAAGTTCTTCATGGTACAAAGGCCTTGGAGGTCTGTGGACACTACCTTTGACATCATGTCATCCAAACTGCCCATTGGAAATGGTCTCTGATGCACCCCGTCATTCAGAACAGGGCCAGACCTGTGCCAGGGCGGCTGCTAAGGAAGAAGCAGTGTGAAAATTGTGGATCCTAGGCCTGAGCTCATTTCCTAGCCCTGTTTTATTTACCCATAGAGGTATATGAACGTTGAGTTTTGTTGTTAATATTTTTTGTTTCATGACCCTTCTGCATTCAGTGTGTTACTTCACACCAGGAAGGCTCCTCACCACTGTTGAGACCTTTTCTCTGGTTCTAGATTGAGGAAAGAAGATTGCTTAACTCTTTCCTCCCTCCTCTTGAATTAAAAGGACAGTAAATGCTGACCATCAAGATCTGTTACAATCACTTCTCCCATTTCTTCCCAGTTCAGAACCTCTACCTCTGCTTTAAGACCTCAAATCTGTTTTAGTTTCTCAAGCCTGCTCTTAGTTGCTAAGAGGTCAGGACTGTGTGGGATTCAAGGTAGAGGCTTTGGGGTTGCTGTCCTGAGGAGGATCCTCTTTAAGGCTGCGGTGATCACATTGGCAGAAAGCAGATCATGTTTTTCATGCAGCTTCCTCTACTGTGCTCACAGAAAACAGAAGTCTTCCAACCTTGCTGAAGTCTTGCACCCCAGCTTTTTAACTGACTTCTGTGTGTTGCTCATCTCTAGTGGTGTTTTGTCAATCTGGAAATAGAATCCGCAGCCAAAATTCAAGCGATTCTAGTTAGCAGGAGAGCTCTGTTTGAATTGAGAGTATGTTACCGCTATGTCTTGACATAAGGCATATGTGCTTCTTGAAAGCAGAAAGCTCTTGATTTCCAGGATCATATCCTCTGGCATAGGTATCAAATATTAATTTGATCAAATCCAGGAACCAATTAAGATTTTGTGAGGTCTATGCTAGCTTAGTTAAGCAAAGCAGCTTTATAGGTAGCAGAAGAAGTAAAAAAGTTATGTCTGAGATTAATGTTCTTTGGTTTGTGGTTAATTTTCCCTTAAAACTTAACTATGGAAAATAGTATTAGATGTTACCAATGTTACCAATTGTCTTTATCTGTCTTCTGCAGAGCTGCTCACTCACGTAGGGTATTTTGACGTGACTAATCATTTCTGGACTGACTTCTTACCAATTATTGTGATGCTTTTCTGATGGAGTTCTTAAAGGGGTGTCCATAAAGGAACAAAGTTGGCTTGTGGAAATGTGTAGGCCTGCCAAACTAATTTTGCTACACCATGTTAATGTATCCATCTTTAAATTTGTTTGCTTTTCCTGAGAATAGGAGTGATTTCTACTAAGGCATATCTGAAGACTTCAGGCTATGATTCCATCCCTATATTAGTTGCATTCTGATTCCTTTATTGCCAGTAGGATTAAAGACTTTTTGGTCACAGTCTGAATTTCTGCCTCCAGACAAAATGTAAAGTATATTTGGCTACAGATTTTTTGACAGGGCAGAATGCCTACTTGAGATTTTATGATTGTTAGGAGTTTAACTTTGGAAATTAGAACTCTGAAATATGATTAATTAAAACACTTTATTTTAGAATACTGTGGCATATTAGCTTCACTGGAAAAAACAACAACAAAACAATATTACAGTAATAGTTATTTGCCTGTATGACATGAATTCCTGAAATCTCAAAGCTGAGAGATGTTTTTAATATGAGAGATGTAACTTTTTCCTAAGGGGACTAGCAGGTATCTTATACAGGCTCTGAGCTGAAGGGAAGACATGCAGGTTCCCTCAGGAACCGTGCTAAGATCTGTTAAGGTCAGGAAAATACTTGGTGATGCTTAATGAGGTGTAATGTCCTGCTTTTAAGCACTGTGAACTTGAGATTTCTATCTCCATTTTGAAAACAAGACAGCTTTTGACAAAGTCATTGCATCTTTGCTTCTTCCAGTATAGCTGGAAACAAAACATGTTCTTTTTTGGACTGTGAGAAGAAGATCCCAGCTTTTCAGAGCTGTGAAATACAGGAAGGAGTTTTGAGTTCAGATTTACTGATCTGGATGCCTTGTAGCTTTACTTGAGACTCAGATCAGTGATGTTGATCAGTGATGGAGATTTTCTTTCTACTACAAGAAATATGGGCACTTTTATGCTGAAGTTGAGAGATGGGAGAGAAGCTCTGAGGGCAGCTTAATCTTTTCATGCTTGTTATTTTAGCATATTTTTATAAATTGTGTGGAGTTTCTTAAGACTACACCTGGCTCTCCTGTAACTCCACTTGCAAAAAACAAAGCAAAACAAAACAAAATGCCGAATTACCCCTTGACCCTTCCCCTACAACAGAAATATTTTTACAGATTCTCTTGTCATTGCAGGAATTGTTACTTTGCCTTCAGCTGATCACAAGTTAACATCACTTGCGCTTAACGTGGCTCCTTAATTAGAAACTCACTGTCCTGTATGTGTGTGACACATTGTGTTTGCTGTAGTATAAGTAAAGCAGTATTTAAATACCTACAAG